GACGCGCAGGCTCAGCGGCCATGGCTCACGGGCCCAGCCGCTCCGCGGCATGTGGGATGCTCCTGGACCAGGGCACGAACCCGTGGCCCCTGCATCAGCAGGCGGACTCTCAGCCACCGAGCCACCAGGGAAGCCCTCCGGGTGCTCTTTGATTGTTTTTAATTGAGACCTTTCCGTCGGCCTGCGTGGCTCTGTGCAGATTCCGAGTCCAGGGTCATCACAGATGGGAAGTCACATGCTTTGCTTGTGCCGCCCTCGGGGACGAGATCAAAGGCCTGGAAGTTGGCTCTCCCCCTGCCGACCTTGCTCACCCGTGCCCTGAGTGGTCAGCTACTCGGACGGGGCCGCAGCAGGATGGGGGGGGCAGCCACACAGCCCTGTGCTGGGCACACTTAGTGCCCAGGGGTCTCTGTGCAGTGCAGAGAGGGTCCTTTGAGGCTTGAAGCTGATCTTGAGGTCCCGGGGCAGCTCCTCCAGGAGTTTAAAAGATGGACGACACCGGAGACAGATGCTGGCCACGGTGAATGGGCACCGTCACCACCACCCCCGAGGCAGAGCGGAGAATAGGCATCAGACACCGTGCGCTCAGCCCAGGGCGTGGACACGGGAAAGAGGGACCCACGGCAAGCCAGCTGTGGGATGCAGCCTCCCAAGGGTGCCTGGTCTCTGGGTGGAGCAGGAGACCTGCTAAGATCAGGGGTCCTACAGAGCTGACTCTCAGATGGGGCTCAGTCCTACGGCCAAGCACCTGCTCGCTTGGCCCGTGATGGTGAGGCGGGATCCAAGGCCACGGCTGTCGCATGTCCTGACCATGCCCGTGAAGGCACAGTGGAAACAGGGAGTGCCCTGGGGCAGCCGCAGCACAGGACACAGACCAGGGGCTTAAAACAGCAGCAATTACTCCCTCACAGTCTTGGGGCTGGCAGTCCAAAATCAGGGCCGAGGTTCCTCTGAAACCTGGAGGGAGGAGCGTCCTTGCCTCTTGCAGCTCCAGTGGTTCCCGAGCTCGTGGCTGCATCACTCTGCCTCTGTCCTCACGTGGCCCCCGTGTTTCTGTGTCTTATAAGGACGCTCTCGGGGAATTAGGGCCCACCCTAGTCCGCGGTCTCAACCTTGAGATCCTTGCGTTGATTACA